TTCAAGGGTCTTTTGCCCATAGATTCTATATAGTGACCTAGCAAAAACTATAAAAAGGATTTGGATCCCTATTGCTTCATTCAAAAGTTATGAATTTTTCTATTGTTCCGATACAGTGCATTACATAAAACGTTGAAAAATTCATAACTCACGAGGGAACATTCTTAACTGATAAATCGCTTTTTGATCGAAATCTAGTGGGTTATAGATTATCGGCCATGCTGATTCCGAATATGATCATGGGAGTTCCCCTAAGCTGTTCGAAGATCCGTTTTTCTGGAAAACTAGTTTTTCCGACACTCTGAAGAATAATACAAACCTTCCTTAATAACACATGATTGTACGCCGCAAATTTTTGAGACATCTTCCAGCTCCACATGACCTTTTTTTGCAAAGTTATAGAATTTACAAGAAAAGCCCTAAATGTTCATTGTCAGCTCCAAGCTACAGAAATAATTTTTTCAACCTAATAAGTAAAATAAATTTTATGAATAAATGAAATAAATTTTTCAACGTTTTATGTAATGCACTGTATCGGAACAATAGAAAAATTCATAACTTTTGAATGAAGCAATAGGGATCCAAATCCTTTTATGGTTTTTGCTAGGTCACTATATAGAATCTATGGGCAAAAGACCCTTGAAATCGGAGGTTGACATCTGAACAGATCCCTTCGTTAGCGGTTATATTGTTCATCATCTACTTCAGATGTATTTTGTTCAAACTGTGGCGGCGACAGGTTATATAATAGCCCTAGATAAATTGATTGTGATTTAGTTGCTTGGATCATCTGTCCTACATCATACCCACTACGTTGTGGCGTGCAACATAGAACTGTAAAATTGATGACTGGTAGCGATACAAAAGATGTTGTCAGAAGAGCTATAGCCAGGACCGCAATTATCAGGAGAGTGCGTATCCCCAGAATATTATTTGTAAAAGGTGTTGTTATTTTAACGACTATTCCCTGCACAAACTATTTTTGACCAATTTTACACTACCTCAGAGCGAAAATTCTTTTTACACCCTCTAACATTTGACTCCTGTTTGCGGCCCTGGCTATAGCTCCAGCTTATCAGCCGGAGAAAAGATATCGAGCTATTAAAACTACTTGCCAGCACTCTATACAGGTAACGGTAGCCCCAATATAGGGTGATTTTCCTCTTTAACTTCAAAATGATTAGTAATATAGATAACTCCAATCACAATGTTTGCTTTTGAATGAAAGTGAAAAAACATGGCGTAAATCTACTCTGGTAGATATAACCTAGTTTTAGCTATAAATGCGAAAGTAAAAGGGTTGTGGCTCATTCAAAACTCAAACAAATCGCTTGAAATTTTCACAATATGATTGGATGATTACATTAAATGCTTTCTTTATTTGCTCAAAACGCTTAAAGTATCGTCTTTTCCAAGAAGATTCTTGGACAATCATAAAAAGGCAATTATCGTCATTCAAATAGGCATATTCTGAAATTTTCAATTGATTTGATTGGATTGTGAATAAACTGAGACGGTTCTATCAGAGCTAGGATAGTCTAGTCATCTGACTGCTTTAGAAAGTATTTTTTGGTACTATCAGCTTCTTGGCTGATTTGTGAAACGACCTCGGTCTAACATGACCGACTTCAAAATGTTTGGATTCAGTTGAAATTTTCACAAATTCTGACTTGCACTTCTCTACTTTATGCTCTCACTCACACGTGCACAACTATAATTAGGTTACCTTTATGAGAAAAAGCTAACGCTGTATTATTCCACTTTTATTCAAAGCAGTCATTATGATTAGAGCAGAATAGTTCATAACCTGTATTTCTAGTCATTTTGAAGCTACCAAACGTCACAATAATAGCTTCTTAGTTTCTAGGAAAAACTGAGCTTACGTTCAAATCATCATAGATAAAAGGGCTCAACCATCAATGTGTAGAGGACACTCTGAGAGCTATTGTCCACATAGAAACATAGAGCCAAATCTAGAAACGTTTTATTTGTTGATCCGATTTTCTAAAGATGCTTGCGATACATTACTTTTACCACAATTTTTTCACCTGACTTTTTTTATTGAAAAAACAATGAGTCAGAGTTTTGATTGGGAAATGGTTAAAATTTCTACTGTTCATCTGTTTTCTTTATGAAATGCTATTTCAGAGATGTTCGAATCCATTCATATTTAAAGTAAAGTTGTAAAGTAGAGTTAAAAAGTATGTGAGGCTTCTTCTCACAATTACAAAGAAATAGCAAATGTTTTTGACATAATAATTTTAATCAAATTTAACCTTCATTGTCAAATGCACATTTTCTCTTTTATTTATTTTAGTCAATAACAGTTTATTCTGAAAGTATAACGACAAATTTAGATTCTTCTGCCAGTGATGATGGTGATGAAAAGAATCTATTCCTGAGTGATCAACAACAAAGTGAGCAAGACAATCCGTTATTGCTTTCCTTTGATGATTATCATGAATACCAACAAAAACGTCAACGTCCATTATTAGGACGGTCATTGCAATACGACACGTATGAAGATGACAGTGATAATTCATATGAAAAACGACATAAACGACCGTTAATGGGTAGAGATACACATAATTCATTTAAGTATTTAAAACGGACAAGACCTTTAATGGGTTAAGACAAGAATTAAATTCGATGCCTTACTTCAAATTGTATCTCTGTTAAACGAACTACTTTCTATTCTCGAGTTTTTTTTGCCATTTTAGAAAAGGCGCAATAACAAAATGATCTGTTTTGTTTTAGGTCTTCTTTCTTTCCCTCGTTTGTTCATTATATAAAAATAAAAAATTTTAAACCGATCCTTGTGCACCCATGTATAACATTGATTAATAAATAAATAATAAAAGATCAATCAAAAGGTTTTATTTCATCTTACATTAATGCGAATCCTACATACTAGTTTTTAAACAAAAGTAACGAGATTTGCAGATAAAATCCTACAGGCTAGGGGTAATTAAGTTTCCACTTCAGCAAGTATTTGAACTAGCAGATATGACTGCTTTCGGTTCTTCGAATTAGAAGGATTGCAAGAGAGGAATCTCTACCGACTACAGTTTGACGCAACAAGTTAGCCTCACAACAATGTTTCATGCCTTTTCTCAAACTAACTAGCCAAATACTCTCAAAAAATAGACAGATATGGAAAGAGAGCAAATTTCCAATTATCAATATTATATCAAAAATTTCCTTATCAGGCACAGTGGGCATTTAGGCGGCATTTTCTGAAAAAATCGTAGGTACGAAATTTTCTGTTTTGAATAGCGGTATATATAGTGTAAACAATGCCCTATTTAACAGTGAAAAAATTGGTCGCAGCTAAGCGCAGTTCGGTAAGGGTGCTTCGTTCCAGGCTTTCCAAAAACCCTAAGGATTTTGGAGTATTTCGCAGCTTTCTCCCTTGAGAAAGTACTTTTGCTTGAAAATAAG